TACTTCAGTACCGGTACCGTCCTATTGCAATACATTTATCATTTTTTAAACTTAAAAGTCGTTGACCAAAGTAGATACTAAATCTTAATTATAAGTACTATTAAACTACGCACTCGGTACTGTTGTGAACAAAAAACATGTATCGATTTACTAAACATAATTCTTTAATTTACCATGTCTACCATGTCATTTTGATCGTTCATGTATGAAGTGGTTGAATATTAATTGAATATATAACATAGTAGTAAAATTTAGACTAATCAAGTTTCATCATATGATGCAATCGAGCGTTTTGGTATTGTTTGTTCATTAGTGTGGTAAACTCATGACTATTTGGCACGGGTATTTAATCACTCACATTGACTATCTCATTCAAACTAAGGTACTAGCTATTTCGCGTAATACATGACATTGACGTTGGAATGTAGCATTCTTAGAAGTTTATTAAAGTAGGTACTTAACACCACAAATTGGGTATCATTACAATATGGAGTAGGATCGACAGTACCAGGTGACGTTTCTCAATACTCATTCAGTAGCATTTACTAACCAGAATTACTTGTACTTTATTATAAGTTTAGTAAACTAGGGTCTTTTCCATGGTCGAGGAATCATCGGATTTTGGGGGCGATGATAGTTTTCTAGAGGGTGTGAGATTTTATAGGGCTTAATTGGAGTCATTCGATGATTGATTCCCAACAGCGAATAAAGAATGGTTGATTCTGAGTGGGCGGTGAGACGCGCCGTCGTGGGCCTGGTGGCGTTCTCGTTGGAGGAGTGGGAGTAGAGGCAATACATGGCGACAAGTTCATATCGTCGACTACGTAGTGCATGTTTTAGAGTGGTCGCATTTGGGTAGGAGGTGCGCGATGGCGTGTGGTTGCTGCTTACGAGGTATGATAGAGATGGTTGGTTGTGAAGAGACACCCGACAAGGAGGGGGATGTGAGAGAGGACGGCGTTGGAGAAGGGGCTACGACAGAGGATGAAGAACAATGAGAATGAGAGAGAGAGAGAGAGAGAGAGAGATATGGGGGTGGGTAAGGTTGGTCGCATGAGTAGGGTGAGTGGGTGGGTGGTGAATGGATTAGAAGGGTAATGTCAAAAATAGCCTAAATGGGTGTAAAATTTTAACTTTTTTTTTCCATTGGATTACCATATCCTAAGCCTACGACGTATTCTTATCTTTTCACTTACAAACATTCTCATTTTAACTCATCGTCATACATACATACATATATATATATATAAATAGGATCAAATGAGAATGAAGAGTAGTGAAAAGTTTGTAATGAATTATATTTGTTGGATGTGATATATCAACACTCCAGTCAAACGCTCTAGCACTGGTCAATGGGCCGGTGGCATTCATGTAATTATGAGGAGTTATGATTTTTCACGCGTGGCATTTTGAGAATACATTGTTGAGCTAATTTGCTTTATCACAAGCATTAATGTATAGTTTGTCTAACACTATGATGCATTTTGTAGCGCGTCAGCATTTTGGAAAATTTATGAACTTTTAAATGTGCAGACAGTGTCAATAATGTAGTTTCATAAAAATGTGTGTGCATATAAACATGTAATATTTTGCTATCACTTGTCATTATTGTACAATTATCAAACTTTGATAAATTGCATATTTATCCAAGATCTAAATTCAATATATTAAAATTTATGAAATTGGAACATATAAATTTTTCAAATGTACGTTCCTAGCCCAAAACTAGACCTTCTAGCCCCTTCTTGCCAGGTGTTGACGAGCGTTTTCGGTCAACGGTTAAAAATAAAAGATAAAGAAAGCAGGACT